TGAGTATGTTTCATCACCAACATAAGAAAGGTTTCCATGTATACCAAAATGTTAACATCTGTTATTTAATGGTAGAATTGCAAATAAATTATTATTCACTTTAGAAATCATTTTGTACATTATCTGAAATAAACTACTACTCTTACATGGGGTGAAGCATTTTTTAAATTGGCATTTTTAATGTTGTTCCAGTTCCTACTGAAAGATGGAGAAGAAAAGCAGGCTTGTCTTTACCAATCATTTCCCCAGACTGGGTAAGACTAGTCAAGTTCAAGTTATACAACAGAAAAGGCTAAATTGTTACACTTTCCCCTTAGGCACTTCTCAGTCACCAACAGCTGCAGTATAAAATCAGGGAATCTGCTGCTGTTTACCCTTTCCTGATCAATTTCACTTCTTTATCCCTAGTCAGTTCCTCACCCTTGGCACTAATGTGGAACCATGGAAAGAGAGAGCAATTTAAAGAACTTAAAACTGATAAATAGCTGGAGATACATATTCCTAAATGTTGGGCTTCCTATGCCAAAAAAGACAGAGACACAAATGTCTACCTTCTTGTAGATATAACACGGTCTTCAGATACACCACATAACTCAGAGGCCCAGCACATCCAAACATCCCAACAGCATTTAGGACAGTTTTAAGCCTGATCTAAGTTATTTCTCAAACTTGCAGAAACAAAACATGCCAAAAATCAGGCCAATTTTGGTCTTTTCTTAAAAAAAATACGGTAAGCCTTCTTAAACAGGTAATAATTTCTTTTTCCCATACTCTTTTTCAGCCTATTTTTCTAACACAGCTAATGATCTCAAATGTACAAATTCAGAGAAAACAAAAAAAGTGAGGTAATATGGCTCCATTAATTCAACCACATTTGTAGAGCATTTGCCATCAAGCACTGTGCTAGGCATACAAACAAAAGTGGGGGATTACAGAATAGCGGTCATAGAAATAAGTAAATAATCACAATATTATATGAATTTAAAACTAATATACATATGTACAAAGTACAGAGGCAACATAGAGGGAGAGAGTGTTGAAAGAGGGTAAGAGAGAAGGTCTTCTGGGGAAAAATGACGAATTTACGAAAGTTTGTAAGGAGAGGAATTCTAGGAATGGTATCATAATATGTTTAAAATATATAATTCAGGATCATAAACTTTTAAGTGAGAAAGCAGAGGGAAATTAAGTTGAAGCAAGTATGCAGTCATTTAACTGATTTTTACACTGGTCAACTGAATAAGCAAATTTTTATATTATGTATACATCACATCTATATAAACAAACATTAGATGTATATACACAGCTTTCCAATGCTTCCATTTATTTCTAAAATGTTTTCCAATTTTATATACATATGTGTGTGTATGTGTGTACACACATATGCACATGTAAAATGTATGGGGTGAACATATGTTTATTTACACTTATCATCAAAAATAACTCACCACTGGGTATATTTTTTAATGAGGCACTAAATGATATAACCACAAAAATTTGCTATTTATGGAAAAATGGTTCAAACTCAGATTACAACATAGCACGTTTATCATACGTGTTCTAATTCTAATTAACCTAATTCCAAAATCTAATATAATCCCAACTTGCTATTAGAAAACCGAATACTGACATAGCAAGTGTTTCTGGCTAATGTGAGCCTAATAAGCAAAATGCTTATTATTTCAGCTACTTCACTTCTCCAAATGTTTTGGCCAAATTGACAAAAGGACATGTAGTGCTACATACACTCAATACCAAAGGACAAAAACTAAGTATTATATAATATGCCTTTAAATGTTTAAAACTCTATTTAGAAGGCTAATAATGTAAAATATGGTACAGTTGTATCTATCGGAAACATTTGACTGGAGTATTAAACAATCTCTGGGCAAATTACCTACAAAACAAACATTTATGTGGCTATTTCCTCTACTATTTATAACACAAACTGTTTCGCTCTAGAGTACATTTATTTGCCATTTTTGAAAAGTAAGATATTTAAACATAAATGTGAAACCATCTAAGAAATGCTTTACTCTATTCTAATTTATTTCTTCCTTATTTGGTCTGGTATTAAAGCAAATCCTTACACATAACAGATCCCCCACTAATTCTTGATTAAATATATTCTCACAGTCAGCCTAGGAGTTATCCACTTCTCTATACAGAACTTTAATTTCAAATAATAGAGCATGTACTAGAGGATTTCAGAATGAGGCCTTACTGGATTTTACCACAATGGCTATTTAGAAAGGGTTAATGGTTTCCCAAGAAACTGGTTAGTTTCACTTTTCTTGAAGGTTGAAATCAGGTGAAAAAGAAACAAAAGAATGCTAAGAATAGTCCCTACTGTAATTAAATCCCTATGAGCAATAGCTTTAAAAAAGAGAAAAGGGGAAAATAATGTAAGGCCCAAATAAAATCCATGTTACAGGGCAGTTTTAAACTGTGCTAAGGCCTTAATGGCTTCTGCCATGATACATATCTTTCTTCATAATATATGACTATAAATAATAAATTTCCATTTCAAAACATTAGTTCACCTATTAAAGATGAGATATAAATTACCATATTATAAGCTATATTCCAAATAAGTTCACTCTGTGGTTTATCTAATGCACAAGCAAACAAAATTGCTGGCTCTAGTAAAACTGATTATCAGAAGAACACATTATTTTCTAATATAATAGAGTTTTTTAAAGTAAAACCCCCAAGATTTTGTTCCCATGAAGAGTTAACCAAAATATTATGCTAAATATTATTATCGCCCTACCCAAACTTAAAAGTATTACAAAGCTCCTAGGGAATAATTTATTAATAAAGCAGGATAAATCTGTGAAAAAACGATTTTAAAAGTCTGGGTGAGTGAGGTAATTTCCAAGGTGTCCCATTCTAAGTACATTTGGATTTAAAAAAATATATTTAAAGCAACTCTCCCACTGAAGATTACCATTCGGTGTTTCAAATATCGACATCTTGGGGATTAAATCACTGGGAGTATTTTCTCAGTTTATTTTAACAGCAGTAGAATGCACTATCACTACACGCACACAAAAAAAATCTGTGTTCTCAAGTTATTTATGGCAAGTATTTAAAAAACGGCCATTTAGAAAAAATATATTTTACATGTGTGAATTCACATTCCATCATCTGCTTTTTTTATTAGCTGCAACAAGAAGGAAACAAGGAGCTATTAACTGCTTTAAGAAAAAAATTCAACTGGTAAGAAGTCTTTTCCCATCTCTAAAAGAAAACTTAACATTTTTGATCCAAACTATTTGTTTGAAAGATACCAATAAAAGTTACCGTCATTCCGTTCAGCGTTCTTAGCAGCTTTTCTCCTAAATAACCATTATCTGAAATAGACTTCTTGATCTCCCTCAAAGTAGATCTAATCTGCAGAAGGCAGGGAGACACTGTACCGCACTGTGAATGGACAGCCAGGTATTTTATGAATGGAGGCGATCACGTGATCACAGCACCTCCCCGAACTGATATTTCCCACATAACTGTGTCAACATTCTCAGAACAGGGGTAGTTGTTTGTGTGTGTGTGTGTGTTTTTAAATTTAACCTAAAATTTCACGTTCTTCTTACCTTCTGAACTCGAAAATCTACACACAGACAAACAAGTCGCGAATTTTTTTTCTTGGGAAATCCTTTCAAGATGTCCAAGGTGATGGATGTTTAATTATTTTTTTTATGAATGAAGAGTGTGCTATGCAAATGAGGGCGATTCACAAAAAGAGAGAGAACATGGCTGCCACTTCTGCTTCTACACTGCACTGACACTGCAGCAGTGTACCTCCTTCTACGACCCGCTCAGCAGAAGCGTGTGTTTTGGGGTGGGGAGGGAGTAAGGGGGGAGGAAATGTTGCTTGGCCTTTCTCTAGCTATTTTACGTTAAACAGGACTCGGCACTAGACTTTATAAAGTTCTTTCAAAAACGTCTGACTTTAGTAATGCACTGTATTTAAAGGCATGCATCCAAAGGACTAAGTCCTAACTCACTTAACTCTTTCCAACCCTCCAAAGATAAACAAAAGTTGAACCTAATTACAAGAAAACGGATGCTAATATTCCGCTTGGAATTAAATCCCTTCTCAATAGAAAAGTGTTGCCAACCATTATTTCTCCATGCAGCTGTTAACGTTAAAGCAAAACATTTAAAAGACGAAGTATTTCGTTTGGAAAGCAAGGAGAAAGCCCAAATAAGCAAAAACTTAAACCAGAATGCTCTAAAAGTTGATGAAATCACCAACATATTCAGCAATGTAAATTCGGTTAAATCAACGTAAATCATGTGTTTTCACATAGCTGAAAGGTAAAAATTAGCGTTCAAAATTCTCCTCCGTTCCTAATGAAGACACGTTCAATGTTCACAAAGGTAAACTCTAGCTCAACATCTCCCACACTCCAGGTGTCCTTAATCCTATTAAATTCTAAAAATGTTTCCCTAACCCTATTTTTTACAAGAATCTTATAGGTCATAAGTTTAAAAGGGGGAGGGGGGAGAGGGTGAAGGCTTAATCGGTATTTAAGAGTCACTGACTCATCGAATTAAGATTCAAGAGCAGTTTGCTGCAGGAGGTGCTCCCACACATTAGTTTCCAAGTGAAACAGCTATAAAGGAAGCAGGATAGATATTGACGGTAGGGTGACTGATCTGTGAGTGAAAATGGACGGGACAGGGCTCTAACAGGCAAAGGGGTAGTTTCTGCTCCACTTCCATCCACCCACATTATTCCATCTCATGGACGTACAATTGCCATCCTCTCCCAACACTTAATAGCCTTCCCCAAAATAAAGCAACTAAATGTGGGAGGGTGGGGAGGGGTGCTGCCACTAAAAATGGCCAAAGAAATCAGCTATCTCCAGAAGATGCACCGAACTCCCCAGGGTCGCAAGCTTTCCGGCACCCAAGTCTCGGATGGGCCCGGGGGAGAGCCAAGGGCGGATTGGGGGAGGGGGATTAGCAATCGAGATCAATGAGGCGCTTACTCGTTGTCAGAAGTCGCCGTCTCCTCGCTCATCTTTCCCTCACCGTGATCCGATCTGGAGATGGAGGAGCAACAGCAGGCGGGGGAGCAGCAGCAGCACCGAGGGGCAGGAGGCAGCGGCGGCCGGGGGGGCGCGGGGGCAGCGGCACAGGGGCCTCACCATGGTGGATGCCTCACCCAGAACGGTGCCCCCCCAGCCGGGAACCCCGGCCACCCCCACAGGGGGGTGGCGGCAGCAACCTCCGCCGTGGCGACCCCAGCCTCTTCCCCCCGCCTCAGTGCCCAGCCAAGGGATCCGAGGAGGCCCGGTGGAAAGGGAAAAACAGAGGGGCTGCAAAGGCTGACTGGAGAGCAGCTCCTCCAGCCACTGGGGTGGAGCGCAGCGGGGTCCGGCCAGGAAGGAGCCGGCGGGCGGAGAACTCGGGAGCAGAGGCGGCGCTTCCCTCAGGGATGCGGCGAGGAGGAAGCAGAGCTCCTCTCGGTGGGGGCCGGCGGGGGGGTGCCGAGCCCAGGCTCCGGGCAGCGGCGGCGCGGTCCTGCCGGAGCCCACCCCACCATCTCCCGCCTCGCCGCTGGCTGCCCCTCAACCCTCGGCGGCGCCTGGGTCGGTCCTCAGGCGCGGGCAGAGCCGGGCTAGGGGCCCCGCGGCGGCAGATTCCTCCAGACACGCTCCAGCCGGGACTCCTCCTCAGGGGGAAGGAGGGGGCGGCGGGGAGCGTGTGAGGCGAGGGGCAGGCGAGCCGATCGCTCCCACCCGGCCGGAGAAGAGCGGGCGGGCCCGGGTCCGGGGGGCAGGATCCCGAGAAGCGGCGGGAGAGGACAAGAGCGGCCGCAGGTTCCCCACCAGCCGGTGCCCACCAACAGCTCAGCGGGCCAGCTCCTCACGCCCGGGAGAGGGGAGCCGCGAGGGGGGCGGCGGAAGCGCTCACGCCGCCCGCTCCTTCCGCCGCCGCCGCCGCCGCTGCCCGAACCAGGGGCGCCCGCGAGAGAAGGAGGCGAAGTAGTCCCTCGCGACTTCTCCCGGCCGCTCGCTTCCCCCGGAGGCCAGAGCGGGCGCGGGGTGGGGCTGCCTAGCGGGGTGTCCGGGCTGTGAGGGTGTGTGGGTAGGACTAAAAGCCGCGGCCTCCGGGCGAATCACTGCAACTCGAAGTCGTTTGCAGCATAGCAAGTTTCAGGAAAGTAGTTCCCTCCTCCCTTCATTTCCCAAATCGTTGTCGAGCCACTTAGCGGGGAAAGGGGGAGGGAGGCGGAGGGATACCGCCCTGCACCGTGCTCGGTGTGCGTGCGCGCGCTCCAAACTCTTGGCACGCCGCGAAAGGGGGCGGGGGTGGGAGCTGCGAAGGGAGCTGCTAGGGAGGTTGCATTGTTGTGGCGCTTTACTCCCCGTTACTCTGCTTGGAATATCCGGGTTGCTTGAACGAAGAGGCTAGAAGGACAGTGTGGCTCAGAGGGGAAATCTGGAGGCTACTCTCTTCTGCCGTGTGTTTGTGTATGTTTTCCTCGCAGAGCAAAGAATGGAACTGGCATGAGTTCATCTTTAGTTAGTGGGGGTTAGAAGCAGGGACTGTGCAAAGAGAGCTCCTCCTGCTGTCCCCCTAGTTGCATTGCTGCAGTCCCCTAGCTGCATGCACGACGTGTGTGTGTGAGTGTGAGAGAGAGAGAGAATATGAGAATGTATGTGTGTTTTAACACCTCGCCTCGCTGCCTGGATTCTTACTGCGCAAGGGGTATGCTGTCAGGGCATTCATCTCCGAAAGCCGGAGTGATTGTTAATGGAGAACGACTTCCATTGAAGCCCAGGGTAGGCGTGTTACATGAATCTGGCGCAGCCAGAACGGAGGAAATAACTCCCGCTGCGAGTGAGGTTGCATAACTATAGCGCAGGAGATGCTTCTGTGGCACGAACTGCTCCGAACGGAGGCGGACCGATTGGATAGACAGCTGTCACGAATGCATTGTTAGAGGACAATGTATGCATTCATCTCAAAAGATATTTGCACAGAAACCTACTGGGGTTGCGGGCTGGAGCCTAAGGTCAGCCCAGCCACAGGAGTCAGAGCTTCTGGCTCTGCAAATTCTATTATCTCTTCTCTACTTAGAAAGCCAGCCTATGCATGAACCACCCTAGGGGACTGAATCCCAAGCGCTCCCAAGTTCCTGACGCATCTTCCCAGATATAAGTCTCTTCTCGCCCTGCGTGCAGTGTTTTCCTCTTCCTTCTCGGGTTTGTGCGACCTAAGAATGAAGGTTGCCGCTTGGTGCCACATTGAAGAGAACAATTCCCGAGGGAAAAAAGAAGTTGGGAGAACCTCGCAACAAGGCAGCACTCCTACCATCCCTCTCCAGGAATCGCAGGATTGTTGTTCTGAGAATGAGCGTGCACAGTAGTGCCCTGTTAACAGTTTTTTGCACGTAGCAGGTGCTTAATAAATGTTTGACGAATGAACAGAGGTGCTAAACCAGTCAACGTGCCCAAAAAAAAACATCCCATTGATTTCTGAGGTCTCTTTATGTAACTTGCTTCCTGCCTCAGCAGCGGCATTGTCCTTACTCTAAGAAAGAAAGGGGCAATGTTGGTGGTGGTCTGTGCTAGACATGACCTCTAAACCTGCCTTTTTGAACTTATTATTGCGAAGAACCTATACGTGGGAGTGTTGATACTGGCCTCTTCCCCTTGCAGGACTACGGTTAACCAGTTAGGCTGCTCAAGTTTCAATCAAGTCCCATCAGTTATAATCTGTGTTCTTATCCAAGTTACTGAAACCCTGGGCCTGGATAAAATGGGGATAATAGTACTTAACTCATAGAGCTGTTGTGCTGATGAACGAGATAATAATATACATAGTTACTTAGAACAGATTTAAGAATTCATAGTAAGAATAGGTCCTAGTTCTTACTACTATTTTGTCAGAGATAGTAATAAACTCCATGGCAAAATAGTGACAGGGGCTCTGTGCTCTGAGGATTAAATGTAAAGCATTCAGTATTCTTGTTCATTCATTCAACAAATAATTACCAGTTGCTAGACACATGGCCTGGTCCTTAGTAAGCCATCAATAAATGAAACTATCACAGTTATTATGATTAAATAGAAGGAAAGTTGGTCATTTGCAAAGGCCTTTCTCTTTTGAAGATTTGCATCTGTTTGAGGGTCCAGTGTGTCACGGAAATCGTCAGTACAGTCTTTGGGACAATCTTGGTTGTCATGAGCCAGGCACTGTGCTGGCGACTTCCACATTCCACACACAGCTTACATAAAGGGAGCAAGAGGTGATCAATAGCCCAAATTAATGCTTTAAAGATTGCTCTCAGCTCTACGACCAAGACATAATCACCAAACCATTCACAGCCTTTGGTGGTCCTATGCCATTTCTAGGACACTTTTGTGCCCTTCTTTCAACAACGCATTTGTAGTTCTGTCACCCAGTTGTTACAGATCTTACCAGCTTTTAAAAAGTTTGCTTTGGTTTGGCAGAGCTCAGAGTCTTCTACTCTGAAGCAGTCAGAAATGGTGCTACTGTTCAAAGCCAAGAGATCTTCTAGTCTGACTGTCAATCACTGGCTGCTCTATACTCAGGAGGTCTTGACTGATCTATCCAGGTGTCTGGACCTTAAGAGTAAAGAGACACAGCAACCAAAGACAATGTGTGAGACCTTATTTGGATTGTAACGTAATTATTTTTAAATTTGGGACAACTGGAGAAACATGGAGATTCGATGAGAGCAAGGAATTTTTGTTTAAGTATTGGTTTATGGCAACATTTTCTTCAAGTCCTTACCTTTCAGAGATATGTACTAAAATATTTACAGATGAAACATTATGCTTCAGAATAATCCACTGAGGAGGGGTGGATTGTAGGTGAGGAGTAGGAAGAATGGGTAAGGATATAGATGAAACAAGATTGGTTATAGATGAATGATGAACACATTCTCTTTACTATTTTATAATTTAAAATGTTCTATAATAATTTTTTAAAAATACACTGCAAGTACTTAAAATCCTAGACCCCAGCTCAGAAATTGTAATCACTAGGTCTATAATGGGGCCATGTTTTTGTAAGTATGCCAGGTACTTGGCTCTTTTTAGTCCTTCATCATCTACTCCCCCTTTCCTTGAAACCATTTTTGTCATCCTGTCTCCCAGCACATCCCTGATTGAAAGCTGTGTTCCAGCCAAACACAGAAAAGGGTGGTCCATGGTGTACCATGAGCTTAGACAGATACTGGTGAAGGCCAGAGGGATAGTTCAGTTAGGAAAGGTGGATCCAGCCAGATGTGAGAAGCTAACTATAGATCACAGTTTTGTCTTAAGTTCCAATGCCATTCAGTTGCTACTAATCAAGAAGAATTCTATGGCCACATTCGGGCTCAGCAAGAAAAGAGAGACTTATATTTGCTCAGTTGTGTTTTCTAAATGGGCCTGTGGGAAGGAAGCTAGTCACAATAACTGCTTATCATAAGTGACTGTATTATTGCACTCAGCTTAAGGAATTAGCCACAACCATTTAATGACCTGTTAGAGGTAATTAATTATCAATAGCATCCATGGGTCAAAGAGGGAGGAACAAAAGCACAGTTGCCAAGTAATTGTCAGTATAGGATATGATCCAAGTTAAGAAAGGTACAAGTGGATTCTGAGTTCCATGTAGGTATCAGACCAGGGTTTATTCACAAGGACGGCAAAAAGTAGGCTGTTCTCACTGAGACACTGGCAGATGGCATGCCACTCTCCAATTCAAAGTTTCTTTTCTTTTTTGCACATTGCTCAGCCCATAGTAATCATCTTTCTTATGAATTCAGAATTGGTCTTCTCAGATTCTTTTATTTTTGCCTTTGCTGTTTATACCTGTGTTGATAATTATTATTTTTGCTGATTCATTTTTTATGAGTTTATATTTGTTTTCCCAGTTAAATTTTAGTGACTTGAAGGTAGGGGCTGCCCTTTATATTTTCTTGGCATCCTTTTTAGCAGTGGTTTTAAGTAATAGAGGCTTATTAGGTGCAAAGCCTTGACTATGTATAAAAATGAAGCTATATTGAGTGACACCGGAGTCAAAATCAGGAATCCCCTCTGGTTTCCTATTGGGACTTAATACTATTGCAGTTTAGCATTTCACATACACTGTGCCTTGCACTAGAAGCTCTCATCAGATATTTGTGTTCTTGAGAAGCCAAAAGAGGAGACAGCCATGCCAACATATGAGGTTCTAAAAGCACATAAAATACAAGTGCCTATTTCCATTTCTAAAATTACCCTTAACATTACTCCTTAGCAGATGTTATTAAAATTTTGTATTTTAAAACTGTAGTTAATGTGTGCCTAGATCAATGGGA